AAAGCAAAGGAAGCAGAGAGCTTTAGGAAGAAGAGTGGCATCCAAAACTATAGAGTTTGGAATGGATATACTAGGCCACCAATTAAGGATAAAAAGATAACTTTTGAGAAGACCATTTAAATCCATTGACAAGAGTGAAGGCCAGGTAAAAGACGAAAGGAGCAGGCTGTGGGAATGAGGGACTGCTGCAGAGATAGTGACCATCATCCATCCTTTCAGCGCTGGGGAGCAGTGGCTCATGGGAAGTTTAGTATTCAAGGATGGGGAGACTTGAACACTTGTGAGAGTTGAAGTAGGGAGTCCATTGGGCTAGACAGGCTACAAATGAAATTAATGGAGAATAATGACCCAAGTTCCTAGGGGAGGTCTTTTCTTTTTCTTCGTTTTTGGTGTGACACCCAAACAGGCTGACTGATTGATCTTCTGACTAAAATTTAAGAGGCAATAATTTAATCAGGGTTGGCAAACTTTTCCCTAAAGGGCCAGACGGTAAATATTTTAGGCTTTGTGGGCAAGGGGCAAAACTGAGGTTATCGTATACATATATGTATACCATTTAAAATGTATAAAGGAATTATAGTTTGCTGTAACAAAAACAGGCAATGGGTTGGATTTGGCCCATAGGCCATGGTGTACCTACCCAATTTAAAGCATGGACGTGGTCCTATGGCTTGAGTAAGAGTTTTGGGTTTTCTTTTTTCCTGGAAACAAACATTTCATGTCCAAGTAAATATTACATGTGAATACCTCAGGTCAAATCACATAAAATCAAATTACAACCGAAGATGTTACTCCCAAGGCCAGTGTAAGAAGCCCTGGTGGTGAAGTCCCGCTTGACAGAGCAGGACATTTGCTGCTCTGTGTGCAACAGGCATTAAAACGTGGTCAGCGCTGCTTGCCCACAGAAGTCACACCTTCAAGGGAGTCAGTTTCAGATCCCTTTCCATCCTCTCTGTCAGAGTCTAGTCTCCCGTGTGGTTGAACAGTGCTGCCTTGTTGGCTGTGCTTTTTTGAGAAAAGCAGAAAAATCAGCGAAAGAAAATGATGCACAAAAGTGAAAAATTTCAGTAACCCTACAGGTAGCTTTGATTTATTTTCAATCACACAGGTGATATTACATTTTACTACAATTACACAAGTACTATGATGTCCCATTATAACAATTCACAATTAGAGATGATGCCAATGACCCCAGGGCTGCCCTCCTGAGCCCTTGTTCCAGCGCGGCCCCCAGTGCAGTTATTGGTGTAGTGACTGGACTTTCTGAGTTTATTCTAAGAATTTATATACCTGCGGGGGTTACAGAAATATATAGGTTTCTGCTGTTCTGCACAAATATGCGATTTGTAATTTTTAAAATCAAGATTAACTTGGTGATAATTTAATCTCAGTAGTGGGAGCTTATTCTTTTAAACTGCTGCATAGGATTGTGTATTTCCATGATTAGTACTCTTCTACTTAGCCATTTCTAATTTTTCACCACTACAAACTATGCTGTCCTGGAAATCTCCGATATGCCTTCTCATATCCTCATTGACGGTCTGTCATTTTTATTTTCTAATTAACCAGTTATTTAAAGTTATGGTTAGCTTTTTTTATAGCCTATTGTTTTATTGCTTATTTACTTACCATTGTGTATGCTGAATAATGCCTGTGAAATTTTGTCTTTTTGGAATTTGTAGAAATTTCCTTTGTGGTAAAATTCTAATGTCTGTCATTTGCGTTTGAAAAGAAACAAAAAGTTCTTCCTATACAGATCAAACTTGTTAATTATGCTCTCCAAATCCCTTCAACCTGTCCTTATCTTTTCCTACTCACCTTGATTTCTAAGTCAGCACCTATGAGCACGGCTTTGTCCATTTTCACTGTGTTCCTATTTATTTTGCTGTATGTAGTTCCCAGTTATGTTTTAGGGACATAAAGTTCATGGACCTACTTGGTGAACTCTTCCTGTTTTATCATATTTTTTTTGTCCTTTAAACTTATTTTTGCCTTTAATTCAGTTTTGATATCAACGCTGTCATTCCTGCTTTCTTTTTTGTAGCATTTGTTGGTCTCAAATCTCTTTAACTTTCATTGCTTTTTAAAAGGCATTTCTAACGTTATGTAGCCAGGATTTTAATTTTCTTTTTGTACCATCTTAACATCTTTTATTTTTACTAGGTGATTTTAGCCCATTTACACTTGTAAGTACTACTATATTTGGCTATAGTCCTACCTTATTTTGTTTTCAACTTGCCATTATTTCTTAAAACAAACTTTTTCTTTTACTTTGTAGCTATCTATACAAATAATTGTAAATCAAAAACCTGTCTGTAGCCACCCACTCGGATTTTTATCATGCTTTGTCATTCTTCTTTTTATCATGCTTTGTCATTCTTCGTACCTCAGGGTAGATTTAGATAACCCAAAGGAGATGAATTTCTATTTCCCTAGCTCCCTTTTTGGTACTTTTCTCACCCCTCTATTATCTATTGCCCTATCCACCCACTCCCCCATTCTCTCTCCCAAAACACACACACTCCCACCACACCAATTTATTTGTCTTGCAGGCCCTGTTCTCAGCTAGCTTCTAAAGATCTGAAACACATCTCTGAAGAATTATCCCCTAATAAAGGGCTAGTTGGTAGGAGCATTTCACTGGCAAGCTTCAGAAAATTAACAAATTTTAAAGACTCAGAGGAACGAAGCTGCGAGGGCCTTCATCAGCCAGGCTGCCGAGTCTGAACTGCATTTCTGTCATGTACTAAAAAGCATCTCATTTAACACCTCCATGCCTGTAAGAGCACCTTCTGCATAGGGTTGTTTGCAGTTAATGTGTGTCAAAAACACAGAATAATGGCTGGCGCATGAGAAGCGCCCAAGAGATGTTAGAACTTAACTGTTATCATTCTAATGGATCTGAAGAAATACTTTTAAGGAGGGTTGGCCTTGGTAGTTTTCTACTCAATCTTTGTGTAGGATGCACTAATAACAGAAAAAGGAAACCTGAGATGAACACGCATTTCGATAAGGATCTGGTCTAATTCATCTCTGCACCTTGGACCCTGGGACACAGGGACCTTTCGGCACGAGTTGCTGAATGACAAAAGAAAAAAGGGACCGATATCTGGATTTCTAAAATAATGTAGAAAATCACGGGAACAGATAGGTTGAAATCTCACATGGCGCTAGACTGCAGTGCGTCACTGAGTAAAAGTGCCACAATATAAAATTTTCAAAAGTAACACTAGAAAGCACTGGCGTAAATATCAGTCAGATACGATCTGTACTGTGAAGGTGTCCTCAAAAGAGGCAACCTCCCTACTGAAGAGCTGTTTATTTTGCTTGAAAAAAAAGGATCCTCTGGTAAAATTTTCTTTAGCGACAAGAATTTAAACTTGGTCTTCATGATAAGACCCCTTCTCTGAAAACAAATAAAATTGGCTTACAGAAGAGACAAACTATCAGTTAAGTAAACAAAGGTGTTGCATCCATCTTGCAGGAAGACTACATTATTTTCTTACTTCATCCGCATGTGACACAAACAATTTTGCTTCATCAGGGTAGCAAGTCTCCAGTTAACTTAGCCCTTTATTTTTCATTCTCCATAGAATACTGATTTTGTAACAATGAACGCAGTCTGACAAGTGCCATTGAAACAAAACTTTTTACTTTATGAAAGATCAGCAAAAATACATCAGCACGGATTAACTGGTGCATTTACTAAAACATGTCATAATCATAAAACCAACTGATCACACACAATAATCTTCACATGTGATATACCAGCTACACGGGAGAAAAGCTGGTGTCTGTTAGGTGATTAACATATGCAAGCAATGACACTGACAAATACATAACACTTCTGAAATGTTAATTCTTTCTCAGTTATACCTAAAATAAATCAACAAGCATACTGAAATCTACAACAATCTATAATCCAAAATTTGTTGAACAGAGACAATGTTAAATAATGGGGCAAGCACTGAACTGGGTGGGAGCTGGTTCTTGTCTTGGCCTTGTCTCTGGATGGATGATCTCAGCCAAGTATTCTGGGCTAGGAATCCTTCATTTTAAAATAGGAGAGTTGGCTAGATGGTTCTCTAAGATCTTTCTAGGTTTAGCTTTCCATGATGCTAAAATCTTTGACACTGACTCATTTTCATGTTGGGAAATGAAATCTCTAACAATACTAACTTGGCAGTTGGGTTGGGTCTGGCTCTACCCACATAAATACAGTTCCTTGGTGATTGTGTTCAAGTGTCTACCTCAAATTAACAAACAATAATGACAGTCTTCAGGAGGTGAATGAGCTTGTCTGCCACTAGACACAAACTTAAGATTGATAGTTTTACTAAGACCCCAAAATCAGGGTTATTAAGAAAAGCTATAATGGAAAACCCACAACATCCTCTTTGGGAAATGGTAAAATAACATAATGATTCTCTAATAGAAGAAGGTAGGTACATATATTAATTGTAATACATAATTAATTTTCAACTGTTCTTTGTGAACATGCACAAAAAATCTATACACAGTTAGACTCTATCATCACTAAATATAAATTCAAGGTCCAGGTGTACATGGAGGCCCTCTAATGCTGCTAATGTGAATATGAACGAGCAATTGGTCTTCTGGGTATCTACCCGAAAAATCTGAAAACATTTATTCGTAAAGATGTATGTACCTATGTTCATTGCAGCATTATTCACCGTGGCCAAGACATGGTAGCATGTCCTCTGATAGATGACTGGTAAAAACGATGTAGTACATAAATACAATAGAATATTACTTGGCCATAAAAAAAGATGAAATACTGCCATCTGTGACAACATGGATGGATCTTGAGATTATCATGCTAAGTGAAATAAGTCAGACACAAAAGTCAAGGACCATATGATCTCACTGATATGTGGGATATAAAACCGAAAGCAACAAACAAGACAAAAACAAAAAAAACTCACAGACACAGACAACAGTTTAGTGGTTACCAGAGGGTAAGAGGGAAGGGGGGAGGTAGAAAAGGGTAAAGGGGGTCAAGTATATGGTGATGGAAGGAGATTTGACTTTGGCTGATGAACACACAATGCAATACAGAATTGTCCATTTGAATCCTATATAACCAATGACATCCCAATACATTTAATAAAAAAATAAAATCATATTAGAATCAAAAACAAAAATCTGGTGAAACCATCACAAAATGCATCCTTTATACAGGCTAATTATCATAGCAAATTCTATTGCTGTAGTTTGTTAAAGTGAGGTTTTCTTCCGTTACATGCCCTGCAGAGTTACACCCTTATTTCCCACCCATTCTCAGGTACTTAGAACTAAAACTTTTCGATTTTTTAAAATAAATGTTTTCAGTTTGTACCTAGTTTAGCAACTTAGAATTGAATCCATCTATCCTAAAGGATTGCCAACTATAACAAATGTTTCTCTGATGCCACAAAATAACAATTTAATAGGAATGTATACTAGCCATGTCTGTTAGTATGTCTGTTTTTCCAAATTCTGATAGAATGAAACTTCTATATACCCTGAAGATAGAATAATATCTATAGAACTTTAAAAAAACAGTTTGAGAAAATATGGATGCATTTCTTCTCAAATTCTAAAAATGATTTCCTGTGCCCAAGTTGAGCAGACTGGAAAGATAAAATACAAAAGGTCTACCCCAAGATCCAGGACTAAGGACTTAAGTTCCTTCAGTGCGGTAGTGTTTAACTGCCTCCCAAGGCACAAGTTTGAAAGTTTACATCCGTGACATCAGGGAGGGGCCCCACTCCTGTAGGTGTCAGTATTCCTTACCGATGTGCTTTGCAATGATGTTCAGCTGGATATTTGAAGCTCCTTCATATATTGTACCTTAAATAAAAGGGAGCGAAAGGAACAAACAGGAACATTTATGCGTGTATACAAGAAACAGCTCTACAAACATCACCTCTGCGTTTGCTGTAAAACTGTTACTGGTAACATCATTCAATGTTCCCTGAATATGCTAGTATCTGGCAAAGTAATTCTGCCAAAGAGATAATTTTCCATTTGGAAATAAGATTCTGTTCCAGAATCAGTATTAACCAGGTGAAGGTTTTCACTCCTAAACTGTCAACGCAAAAGCGTGGCCTGTTATTCAGGAGCAGGCAGCTTTCAGTACTGCTGTTTCTAGCTTCCTATTTGGTGGCAGAGTGCTGAAATGCTCAGGCCTGATTAGGAACTTAGCTTCTGAAGTTAGAATTCAGGTTTCAAAGAATTTTGATGCATTAAACACATAAAAAATATTAACGCTTTTAGTAAGTGAAAAATTAAGGCAGTAGATGTTGTGCTTTTACTAAAAGGCCTGTTGAGGCATTTTAAAAGGTGATGTGATGTTCTTAAAACTATAAATCCATTTTTCTTGAAGGAAGAGGTGGGAAAAACACCCAGCCACAGAAAAAGAGAGCCAATGAACACAATATTGAAGAGATTAAAACTGCCTCTGCCTAGGTACCAAACAAATAATAAATATCAACCAAACACCTACAGAGGCAACAAAAACAAAACAAAATGGAAAAAAAATCTATTTACCAATCTTTGCATCTCGGAAGTATTTTTCCACAGGGTAATCTTTGGTGTAGCCCACGCCTCCCATCCACTCGACACACTTACTAGTTGTTAGTCCTGCAACCTATCAAAAACAAGCAAATCACTTGCCGAAACCACATGACTTATGCATTACAAACACTCTAGCGGTGAAGTGGGGTGGATAAAGTGGAAATTGGTTCTATCAGTCTGGCACTCAGCAGGGAGGTTGAGGCAGATTAAATTTTGGGGCTGAAGAAGTTAAAGGAATATTGGAAGCTATGGAATGAATAAGATATACTGCGGACGCTGGGATTTGTCTAGATTCTCCAGCCCACGTCTAATGTGTTAAATGTAGAATGCATCTGTGTGAGCAGAAAGCATTAAAAACATGAGCAATCTCTTCTTGGTGTTTTCATCTCACGTCATCTCCCATGGCACTGCTTTTGCCCCAACCTGGAACCATGGGGGTGAGGCCATCAGTGATGCCAGCATTCAGATGAGGCCCATCCGGGGATTTATGATGGGTCTTCTACCTGAATGGGGCGACCCGGTTTCCATTTAAGATCTTGAGAAAACATTGATACCTCAGAATCAAAGCACTTTCCTATGGATGCTTTACTTTTTTTTCCCTTTTCTATTGTAGGAACTGGAGAGTCCATGTTATTTTACTTGAAAAACAAACAAGTATTCAACCAGCATTCCTAAGTGAAAGGTTAACAAATACCTGGGAAAAAAATGAAGGCTGATTTATTTATTTATTTATTTATTTATTTATTTATTACCTCTGATGCGTAGTATTTGGCCATCGATGCTTCTTTTACGCATGGCCTGCCGGCTTCTGAAAGCCTAGCAGCGTTGTATGTCAGCAACCGTATAGCTTCCAGCTGGGTGGCCACCTGAGCCACTTGGTGTTGGATTCCCTGTAACATTCAGGCCCAAGTTAGAGAATCAGGATTCCCGAGATCACAGCTTATCCTCCAAAGTCCTGCCTGGCTATGGAGCACAAACAGACTCCATATATACCCCAAAGGAAATTCACACTCAGTTTGTAAAAATACTTGAAAATCTGCAATCTAAAACGAAATACGATACTACACGTGTTGTTTCTTAAAAAATTTCAAAGTTCATTTAATTCTTTATAATTGCCAAGATTTAAAAACGTAAAAGATCACAAAATTACTTTTAAAAAATTGGTTGTTATAATTATTTTCGCCCTTTATGATAAAAATTGTGCTATAATCCCAGCAAAACAAAAATTTGAATATATTTTTTTATTTGCTTGAATTAACAACATTCTGATTCTGCATATAGCAAGGCATTAGAAGGTGTTGCCTGCAATGAAGAAATATTTGTGGGACTGCAGATTGGTGCAGCCACTATGGAAATCAGTATGGAGATATCTCAAAAAACTGGAAGTGGAACTACCGTATGACCCAGCAATTCCACTCTCGGGTATCTATCCAGAGAAACCCAAGGCGCTAATTCGAAAAAATATATGCACCCCTATTTACAACAGCCAAGACTTGGAAACAACCAAAATGCCCATTGGTAGACAACCGGATTAAGAAGCTGTGGTACAGTTATACAATGCAGTATTACTCAGCTATAAAGAAAAATGAAATTGTACCATTTACAACGATATGGATGGACCTAGAGAACTTTATGTTAAGTGAAATAAGTCAGTTGGAGAAAGACAAATACCACATGATCTCACTTATATGTGGAATCTAAAGAACTGAATGAACGAGCAAAGTAAACAGAAGTGGTCTCAGAGATGTAGAGGAAAAACTGACGGTTGCTAGTTGGGAGGGGTGTGGGAATGAGGAAGAAGGGGAAGGGACGATACAACATAAATTGGTTAACTACAATATTACCACAGGGATATGAAAGAGTTTGGGGAATATAATTAATAATGTTGTAAATATTTTGCAGGGTGTCAGATGGTCATATGTCTTATTAGGGAGACCGCATCATGGATGGGGTAGAGGCTTGATCTGCACTGTGCACCTGAAGCTGATGTTGTATAATACTGTACGTCAACTATAATTGAATATATATATAGTCACGGGATGTGGAGTATAGTGTGGGAGTGGAGTCAATGGAATTGTAACAGATATGTATGATATTGGGGAGGTGGGGGGTGGATTAGGGGAGGGGGTTGTCACTTTGAGGGGGGAAAAGTGTAACTATTGCACTGTGCTGTACACTTAAAACTAATTAAAAACAATAAATGAATAAAAATTAAAAAGTTAAAAATTAAAAAAAATATATTTGAAGCATCAATGTTCTTACATTACTGCATTGACTCCATTGCAAGACCCATGGACAGGTACCAACTTTTTTAAGGTTATAGAAAACATCAAAATTATTTTAAAAAACACCCTGAAGAAATCACTACCACTCTGAAATTTTAGAAGGTGATTAGGCACACTAAATGTTGGTCAAAGAAAAATAAGTGAATTAGTGAGCGAGAATAGAAATATTAAGTTTATAGTTATAACTAATATGCTGGAAATATGGCGTAGATATATTTATTACAACTGAAAAGTTTCTCTTGCCGAATGCATCCATTTACCCAGATTATTTACTGGGAACCTGCTAGATGCCAGGTAGTGTGCTGAGAAGTGGAGACATCACACTGAACATTACAGTCCGAGCTCCGTGAGCTTATGGTTTCTATAGCCCAGCAGGGAAACAGACAGTTAAACTGTGACACTGTGTGATGAATGCAGTCAGGGAACCTCAATTAAGGCACTTAGTCGCAATCCCAGGGATGGCCTTTCCTCAGCAAAAAAAGAGGAATAAACTGGAGGAATATAGTACTGCTCGCAAATACACGGTAGATTCTTCTCTTTCTGTAATGTATGATATGCACAAAGAAGACTGCGTTGCATCTCTGTAGGTTATAAAGCATAATAAAAAACTGAACTCACCTATGTATAGAGCAAATGTCTTTTTATGGTTTGTTTTTTCACTAAATTTATGGCATCTTTTGAGAAAAACCAATTTGGTAGCCAAATTCACCATTCTTATCATCTTTTATAATTAGTCCTTTTTGTGTCTTGTTTATGAAATATATTCCTAGCATGAGGTCAAACATATTTCCCTAAACTTAAAATTTTGCTTTTTATGTCATGTCTTTAATACATCTGAAATCTACTTTCTATGTATGGTGTGAGGTAGGGATCCAGTTTCATTTGTTCCCACAAGGAAAGAATATCCCCACTCAATGGTCTGCAATGCCATCTCCATCATATATCAAGTTTCCATCCACGGAGGAGTCTATTTCTAGCCTTTCTGTTTTGTTCCTGTTAATTTGTCTATTTCCACATCAATATCATTGTTCTAGAAATTGCTTATGGCCTGTTATGTGGAATGCAGTGATTCCAATTATTTTTGACAAGTACATTAAGTTTAATTGACAGCTGCCATCCATGTTGTCTACTCCAAGGACCATAGTAGGCACCATGACAGGCATGTCTCCAGCCCTATGAGATCCCAGCATCGCCGAGTACTGGCTCCTTAACAACCTTGTGAACACAAGGTCTTCCCTCCCTCATCCAATATACGTGGAAACCCTGCATCCTGTGTGCAAAGAAGATCAACAGCCTCCTGCAAAACTGTCTTCACATTCTGTCCCCTTTGGTGCAATCTGTGGTGGCTGGCTCTGAGAAAGCACTCTAGTATAATAAAATGAAAATTAGACCAGAAGCCATGACAACAAAACCTCTGTAATTCTGACCCTTACCGACTATGACATTGGGAAGTCAATCTCTATGTGCCTCAGTTCCCATGTATAAGATGGGGTAATGATAGCATGAGCAGTGGCAGACCCTGGCCAGGCTGGACATGCTCAGTCTTTAGAGGCCTTGAACTGACTGCTCACCCACAGCTTAGCATCTCCACACACGTGTAATGTGTGTGTGCTTGTACGACGCCTAGTCATTATTACGGAACCTGAAGACAATGCAGCATGACAGGGCTACTCAAGGGGAGATACTGCAAACATGTCAAGTAACTCTTCTGGGTTATTACGTGATGTGCTTGGTAAGCTGCCACTCCAGTCTTCCCCCAACCTGTAAGACCTGATGAGGACTGAAAGGTGGAGAAGAATGCTGCATATTGCCACCAACTAATCCCGACTGCCTGGGGAGCTCTGAAACGCCATGCCATGGGACCAGGCGGGTGTTGTCCAATGTGCTTGACTAAGAGCATTCTATTTGTACTTCCTGCAGCTAACTGTGTCTTTCATAAGACAGATGTGCAAAGTGTAGTCTGCTGAGGATTACTGTACGGCTCTGGCCTGATTCCTAACAACCATTACCTTCACTGAGTACTTGTTAGACCCAGGCAATGTGTTAAACACTTTACACCCTGGGGGGGAGGGAGTATTATCTTTATTACAAATGAGGCAGTTGGGGTTTAGAGAGGTGAGGTAACTCGTCCAAGGCCTAAAGCAGTAAAACACAGACCCAGGATTTGAACCCAGGAAGTCTGACTGCAGACCCCATGCTCTGGAACTTATGAAGCAGTGAGGAGACAGCTCAGAGGCTCTCACCAAGATATCCTGAATCACGCCATAGCGGGGCCTCAAGGACTACCGATCTGCTCTGGGAGACAGTCAAGGCATTCCTAAGCACACACCCTGAGACCCATTCCTTCCGCCCCTACACCTCTCCCATTAAAATTCTGAGGGTATTTCCTCCGTGGCTCTATCCCACAGCTCTTCATTAACAGGAAGGAGGGAGAGTCCAGTTCAGTAGAAAGAGTCTAATAATGATATACCTGAAAATCGAATAATCTTTTGCCAAATTGTATCCTTTCTTTAAGATATGGAATAGTGTAGTCAAAACATCCTTGAGCCAGTCCCAGCATCTGTTAAAAAAAAAAAAAAAGACCAAAATTTCTTATTTTAAGTTTATACTTTTTAAAAAAATTTTTTTTTAGGTGTCCCAGCTGAGGATTTATTGGCGTAAATGCAACCATACAAAAACATAAATTATGAAAAACAGTCACGACGTGCCCTCCCCCTCCCTAAGTTTATACTTTTAATTATTCAAGTTATAAATTTCTTTTACAGACAAATTGAATAGTTGGGGCAGGGAAGAACTAGAGATCCTAAGGTAGGGAGGCGGAAGTAACCTTCACCCACTACATTTGTAGAACTCAATTTCCAGTAATTGGGAGGGAATTTGAGTGATTTCATATGAAAAGGAGTATTTTTAATTCCAGCATAGAAGTAAACCCCCTGGCATAGCTGTGCTCCCATAACCAGCTTACTTTTTAGGAAACTCTTCCTTTAAGCTCTGATTCTCAGACATAAAGTGAGTCACAGACACTGTGCTTAGAACTGGCTTCAAAGGCTATCTGGTAGCGCCCCCTAGTCCCTCTAGAAGTCCAATGTGGAAGGTCACTTCTTAACCTTCTATCTTCCTGTCCACTTTGTATATGATCAGGATTAATAACAGCTTCAGTGGAAAGGGCAGTAGAACATATAAGAGTGGTGTTTTTCAACCCAGCTTGCAATTAGAACTGTTTGGGGGTAATTTCATTAAAACAACAAAACCAATACCCATGCAGGGGTCTAACAACTGAATTCAAACTTTGGGAGTGAAAAAGGTGAGTATGGCCTGAGCACCAGCATTTTAGAAACTTCTTAGATGATTTAATGCAGAGCTAGACTTGAGAACAACTCATAGAGAGCATCTGGTAAAAACATTTTTTTGTACACTTGAAGAACAAATCAGGAGGTGGTGACAATTTTAGCTGAATTGTCTCACTGTTAACCAATGTCCACATCTATTGAATGATTTAAGCTAAGATGTGGTTTCTAAATTTCAACATTAGGTAGCCATTAAATCATCTGATTATGTCAAACTACGTAGGTTTCAGAAAAAGGGGGGAAAAAATCAATAGTTAAAGCTTTAGGGGGGAAATGCCTACAAACTTATCAATATTTTATTAGTGTTTTTTCATATTTTCCTTTAGCCTTTTATTTTGAGCTTTCTAGAGAATAGAATATTATGCTAAAAATTAAAGGACAAAAACAAACAAACAAACCAAAAACAACCCCATCAAAACTCCAAAATGACAAAGTGGGCAATGAGTCGCTGCACTTTTGGCTATGAGATAAGATGATGTCATTATACTCTTATAATTAATGCGCATAGTCTGTCATGATAACCTATATTGACATGAAAATTGAAGTTATCAGTTGTCAAGCAAAATAGGCTTTTCCATCTCTGCAAAATGTTTTCACTATAAATACTGAAAAACGAAATTCTCTTCGACTGAGATTTGAGGATGGATGCCTTCAGTTCACGGCTATATGTGCGTCTTTCTCTAAAAGACACCTGCAGTATTAACCAAGAAATAATCACTGGCTGACCTTAACTTTTAATTAGGTTATAAGATAACTTGGAGTAATTAGACTCAAGCCCAGGCTATGTGTTTTACTGCCTGAGCATCTATTGCGTTGTCGGAAAAGTCATAACGCATTTTTGCAGTGAAAAACATAGAAAAAAATACGTCATGACTTTTCCGACAACCCAATATATTATTTTTATGGAGCAAGGAGATCCAGTGCTGTGGTGTTAATGTCATAGCTGACGAAGCTGAATCACGGGAAAGCCTTAAAAAGAACAAATAAGCCAATTCCCTTTAGCAACATACTATCTAGTTTTGTGAGAAACATGGGTTATGTTTTGATCTAAGAATATTTTGTGAGCAACTTAGCGGCGGTGAAAAAAAAATCTAGAGTAATACTATAACATTTAATCCAATAGCTACGTATATATGTAACAGCCTCAAAATTAAAAGCTCTTAAGTTTTTGAATTTTGGGTACTCACTGATTAAAAATAAATAAATACATTCGATAAAAATGACAATTTATCATAAAACCAAAGACTATTCATTTTCTTAATCTATAAAATAACTGACATCACTTAGAAAAATGTAATATGCATTACAAAAGGCAAATTTAGTAAAAAAATTGAACAGTTCTCATCTTACATACCTTATTTAATTGTAGCTACTTTATTTCAAGTGTCACACACAAAAAATTGCCTGATTTTAACATGCACAATAGGGAGCGACAAAATATTTCATTATCTATAGATTAGAGACTTTTACTACATGGTAGAACATTATTTATTCTTAATTTAAAAAATTTCTTCCCAAATGAATTTTATGCTTTGAAAAGCTGATTTAAAAAATATCACATTTAATTTATGCTATATTTTAGAAGTTATCGATCCAGGTATTGGATAATACTTTAATGTTCTAAAAGCAGAAAAATTGTTACCACTAAGCCACTGTTTGGTTTTCAGGACATTATGTAATTGACCAAAGTGGAATTTTAAAGAAATCACAGAAGCCATTCTTCCACCTCATGGAAGGAAAGGGCGCCATCTTGTGTTCACAAGCTTCCAAACACTCATTGGTTTTACTGTAGTTTTTTCTTTCTACCTTTTAATTGACCCACACTGTGGAAGAACCAAGTTAAAAGGCTAACATCTGACTAACCTGTGCAGCAATTCCTATTCTACCTATATTCAGGCCACTCATGGCATACTTATAGCCAAGTCCAACTTGGCCCAGGACATTGGCTTCTGGAACCTGGAGGAAAAAAAAAAATGTGGTTATTTTTTATTTAATTTGACACAATTCATTTTGACTTTGTATTTTTAAATGCACATATGCTCCCAAATTGTGTGATATTACTCTAGCAGAGTGCTTAAGCTCCAAGGAAATTGTCAGCTACACCTCTCTGTCTCGCTCTAAATTGTTTTGCAGATAGGTCTCAGGGCACAGGACACTATGGCACCCTCCAGAGGCTAGCACAGACATTTGCTGAATAAATAAATGAATGAACGAATGAATGAATCTAGAAAAAGGGAATTCTCATATAATTTATCAATAACATAAATGAATAACAATTTTCCCCAATTCTTACCTGTATGCTATGGTATGAGATAACATATTAGGAATTACAGAAAACACGTAAATACTTGCTAAAGCATGGGTAGTGAACCTTTTTTCTGTTGAGACTATGACTCCATAAAACTTAACTGATGTGTCTGTGTGTGTACATGCATGTGTGCACAAGAGAGAGAACGAGAAAGGAGAAAAGAAAGATTAAAATGTTTATTCATCATTTAAAAAAATCTAGCATAGGGACAATAAGAAAAATACATTTAGCTTTAAGATGTGGACAGTTAGGAGAGAGAATGGGCAGAATAGAGAAAGAAAAGAGAAAGTAGGAAGAAGGATGCCAGTTGGGGCAAAGTAGTGAGGCTCAACTGACATTTATAAAGACAGTTCATGAGCACACACACTCAACCACGAGCAAAAAGACCAAGTTCTAATACTAGCAGTAGATAGCCCCTCAGAACCTGTTCTCTCTGTAAGCGTTCTGGCAATCCTCTCGTCCTCATTTTTAACAGACTCCACTTAGAGCTGTGGGCGCTGCCTGGCTGTTTTCCTCTTCACTGAGCAACACCCCCATCTCGTGGCCTTTGGTGTCCAGACACCACGTTTCCTTTTCTGGAGCCACGTCTGCTTCACGAGCATCAAGTTTATAAAGTATAAATGGGGTTAATTCTCAGCGCTGGCTCTAGTCAGCTGCTGGGCAAAAAGGTTTCCACTCCTGGCCTAAACTCTTGTGAAAAGTACATTTTGTCCCGAGCTAACCTAAGAACAAGGTTCAAGAGTCTTACAAAATCCTCTCCTCTGCATGCGGAATGTTTGGACATCTTTTTTGCACATCTACAGCTCCATGCAAGGCTTATTGCACATCAGTCTTGTACTGGAAAGTCTAAGATACTCACCTTGACATTTTCAAATGTTACTGGGCAGGTGGAAGAAGCTCTGATCCCCATTTTGTTCTCTGCTCTCCCTATGTGCAGACCTTCAGTATCGCGATCTACTATGAAGCAGGTGATTCCTTTATACCCCTAAGAAGATTTTAAAATGCTGTTACCACTTGGACTGATAAGATCCCATTTCCAAAAAGTTCAAAGTAAACAGAAAATTAAAAATGGACTTTAGCAGTAAATATAAATGGACTCAGAGCTGCAACACGCGCATTCTGAGACCAGAAAGATTAGTGGGAACTAGGTTCAAAATCAAGAATGTCACCATTTCTGTTACTTTTCCAGAAACCTTTATGGCTATTACAATTATTAAGTTATACTACAGTATTATATGATCATGAGAATACCATGTTTTATATTTAACTTTATTAAATACTTTGTTTCAAAATTCAATTCAATTAAATATTAGAGAAAATACAAAAGCTAAAATGTATTTATTTTGCTATATGTCTATGTTCCAACTGAATAAAATATTCTTAAAACTAAATGTACTAAATAGGTACTTAAATCCTTTATTATTAAATAGAAAATTTGAAATTCTACAAATGTAAAGATTACCTTCCTCCACAACGTATTAGGAGATAATTAATAAAGGGTCCTCCGTGTACAATAATTACATCAACCACATTTATTTTAGGAGGTTAGTAAATAAAAGTATGAAAAGATGTCAGATGTCTAACATTTTCAGTACTGTGGAGAATGAAGAATTTAAGACTGAGCCCTAAAAAGGAAAAGGAAGTAGGAAAAAGATATAAAGAGAAAAGATGAGGGGGAAGAAGGGGAGAAATCTTGTTTTCAATCTTACCCTGGTGGGGTCCACATTAGCCATCACCAGGAAGATCCCTGCATACTCCGCATTGCTGACCCACATCTTCGACCCATTGATGACATAATAATTTCCCTTTTTATCAGCTCTGGTCTTCAAAGCAAATGGATCGCTACCTGCTCCAGCCTCTGAAAGGCAGAAACTTCCTACCTACGCATGGAAGGAAAAAAAAATCCCCAATCAATAACTATATTTAGACCAACAAATACTCACTTACGGCAAAGTAAACATTTGTAAATCAGACGTGTAGCTACTTTTAAAAGCCTGTACCTATCAAAATAGTAATGTTTTCTGACAGTATTATTTTCCAAAATATACCCTATTTGTCTACAACAGGTTTAAAGACTTAAGTACACATATTCAAC